TGGCAGGCGAGAAGGTCGATGAGCTTAGGAAGTCCCGGTAGTGCGTGTCCACATTCATTTATTACCATCGCTGACTGAGACACCTCAGCTGCGCGGTGAACGAAGGCTGTAATTTATCAAGAGATCTTGCTCACGGATAAATGATTAGAAATAACCTCAGATGGGAGCATTGGCTCGCCCCAGCAGATCGCATCTCGAATGAGTGGGATACGTCAGGATGATCAGCACCGCAAAAATGTGAGCTCCGTGAGCGTGGAGCCGATGGCAGACACGCTCGGTGCAAAAGTGCTTTTGACATCAGAACAGGAGAATGAAAGCTTTGAGCGGGTAGGTGGTGTGTGCCAAAATCCGAATGCAGAAGAACGCTGCCGCATGTCTGCTGGCCTTCCGCTAGCGCGGAACCTTGTACAAACAAGACTTGCAGCGGAATTGAAATCTGAATGTGGATTTGAAATCGAAAAGTTCTTGTTGAGCACGGCGCGCGCGCTCAATCGTGAGCGGCGTCCGCGCATGTTCCGCACAAGGCATCCGCGCGCGCGCAAAGGCACCCGCGACCGACCTGCAGGCATGCGCGGATCGTGAGGCGCGAGGATGAACTTTCTTCTGATATCCAAAAACCGTACGATCACGTCTGTCGATCATTTATAGTGCGCGTTCGGTTCGCAGATTACCACTGACCTGATGACCTAGACGAGCATTCGTTTCCACCTTGACCCTCACATCACTCTTCTCTCTTTATTCGCGGTCTGCGCTGCATCAACACGCCGCAATTCAACATGAGCGATAGGATCGTCGCTGCGTGGCAGGCTAGCCCTTTGGCTTCCTTGAGCCACTGGCAGCTTGTCGCTGTCGCAGCTATCGTCTTCCCCACAGTTGCAGTGGTCCTCAATGTCATCGATCAACTGGTAAGTCTCGTATCGCTGTTCTCTTGCCCCTCTTGCGCTTGTGCTCATGCCCTGTTGTTCCCCTCCGCTCAGCTGCTCCCCAAGAAGCCCAGCTTGCCGCCGCATGTCTTCCACCTTTTTCCTTGGATCGGCTCCGCTGTGGTTTACGGGATGGACCCCTACCATTTCTTTGAGAGCTGCAGAGAAAAGGTAAGACCTGTTGCGGATAGTGCTCCAGCCGCTGACATAGCGTCGCTGATCCGCTTGCGTCCTATCTCCCCACTTTCCCTCCGTAGTACGGCGATGTGTACACCTTCACGCTGCTCGGCAGAAACATGACCGTCGCACTTGGGCCCAAAGGCTCCAACTTGATCTTCAACGGACGCATCACAGAGGTATCGGCAGAGGACGCATACACGCACCTCACAACTCCCGTGTTTGGCAAGGACGTGGTGTACGATGTGCCGAATGCGGTCCTGATGGAGCAAAAGAAGTTCGTCAAAGCTGGTCTAAGCGTCGACAATTTCCGCATTTACGTTGGCCAAATTGTGGACGAGGTGGTCAAATTTGCTACTCAGGATGAGGCATTTGTTGAGCTGCAGAACGGAAGCACTGAGGGTAGCGTGGACATCTTCAAGACCATGTGCGAGGTTACCATCCTCACAGCCAGTCGGACGCTCCAAGGTCAAGAGGTGCGAGACTCGTTGGACAAGACTTTTGCGGACCTGTACCACGACTTGGATGGCGGTTTCATCCCTCTCAACTTTGCAATTCCAAACCTGCCCATTCCCAGCAACTTTAGAAGAGACAAGGCTCAAAAGGCGATGAGCGATTTCTACATGCAAATCATCGAGCAGAGGAGAAAGAGCCAGGCTGGGTCAAAGGATGGGAGACACGATATGATCGAAGCTTTGATGGACCAGTCGTATAAGAATGGCAGGAAGCTGGGCGATCGAGAGATTGCACACATCATGATTGCTCTGCTCATGGCGGGACAACACACGAGCAGCGCCACCGGAAGCTGGGCTATGCTGCGTCTTGCCAGCCGACCAGAGATCATGTGAGTGCGGACACGAGAGGTTCGTCGCAACATACAACCCAGGTAATGGCTGACGCGCTTGACGGCTTCCTCCATAGCGAGCGCCTGTATGCCGAGCAGAAGGAGGTGTATGATGACGGCGCAGGCGGTCTCAGAGAGTTGGACTATGACATTCAGAAGAACTCTGTGCCTCTGATGGACGCAGTTGTACGTGAGACGCTGCGACTCCACCCGCCCATCCACAGTATCATGCGCAAGGTCAAGACAGATATTGCGGTCCCAGCGTCTCTGGCATCTCCTCAGTCCCATGCCAGTGCCGCTTCATCAGCAGCCAACAAGAAGACGGATGCAGGATACGTCATTCCAAAAGACTACTACGTCATGGCTGCACCTGGTGTATCTCAGACCGACCCCAAGATCTGGAAAGACCCCGCCAGCTTCAATCCTGATAGATGGATGGGCAAAGGCGAACTTGAGCCAGAGGAGCAGGGAGAGACTGTCGATTACGGCTGGGGCGCGATCTCCAGTGGTGCGAACAGCCCCTATCTGCCCTTTGGCGCCGGAAGGTAAGTTAACGCCAAAGTGCACACAGCCTTTGCACACTTTGAGCTACACACGCAGTATTGACGCCGTCACCATCATCTTGTCCGACTCAATCAGACATCGCTGCATTGGCGAGCAGTTCGCTTACCTGCAGCTAGGCACCATCCTTGCCACTTTCGTCCGCCGCTACTCTTGGAAATTGGCAACTCGCTTCCCTGATCCTGACTATAACGTGAGTGGCCTCGCTAAACATTGGACCTGAGAAAAGTACGCTGACCTCTATGTCCACTCAC